GGGCCCCACCCAGATGGGCGGGGATTCCATAAGGCAGAACTAGGAATCATTTTTCTTGAGGTTCTGCCCTACAGGCCCATGGCGATCAAGCTGTGGGTTTGCAGCGGCCATGCATGGGTGCCCAGCTCCTCTGGCGGCTGGTGGGACAGGAGGGGAATTTGCATAGCTGCTTTTCCAACAGCCCCACGGGCCCCATGGGACCTTCGCAGCCTATGAAACCTGCTCAGGCTGGGGCCTCCTGCTGGGCCCCACGCTGCCCTGTCCCCCATCCCTCCCAGCACCCTGGATTCTGATTTCTCAGAAGCCACTGCCATGCGGGATGCCGTGAGCAAGACCAGACAGAAGCCAACCGAGAGTGCGTGTATGTTAACGTGTGTGCATGTCTTCGAGTGTGAGTGGGAGCATGCATGAAGCTGGCATGAGCACTCTGCAGTCCTGCTGATTAGCCACGCAAGTTCCCACGAGGTGGCTGCTGACCTGTGGCTCCCTCATCCTCAACAATGTGAGGACCGAGAGCCTGCAGGGCGCTGCCTGAACTCAGCCAATAGTGATGAGATCTGTGCAGGGCTGTGCATCCACGTGGCAGGGAGACAACATCCAATATGTTCACAACGTGCCAGGAGCTTGTAGACACACTGGCTGAGTGTGACATCACAACTGTCCCCAGGCTCTTCATGAAGGGGGCTCAGGGAGGTGAAGCCACATGCCTGGCCCCAGGGCTGGGCAGAGGGAAGGTGATGTTGGCACTGAGGCAGCTCTAGCCTGGCGTCCAGTACCCCTTCTACCACCCGCCAGGGACTGGCCCACAGCAATGTCTGCCACAGCCACCTCCCCTCAGCCAAGGCCGCCACTCTGAACCCTGCATGGGCAGGTGTGCCCAGGAGAGGGGGAGCCCTCTCGGCAGCACCTGCCACTTTTACTACCTTCCTGCTCCTGGGACCACTTGGGAGGCAGCTGCCTGCTCCAGACCTCAGGCCAGGCCCAAAATGAAACTGGCTCCCTGCCCAGGTGCTCTGGAGTGGCCCTGCCCCTCTGAGGGCAGTGCTTTGCGGAGGAAACTGGCTCAGAGAGGCCACATGGCCTCCCCAGGCTCACAAAGCAGTGGACTCAGAGCTGCATTCGTTTCCATTGCTGTCATAACAAGTTATCACAAACTGAGTGGCCTAAGCAACATAAGGGCATGGTCTCACAGCTCCAGAGGCCTAGTCCAGCCTGGGTCTCCCTGGGCTGCGTGTCCCCTGCAGTGTTGGAGGTCCACTCTCTGCTCCTGCAGGTGCCAGCTTGGGCCTCCCCCTACCTTAAGACTCCTAGGCTGGTGCTCCATGCCGCCTCCACCCTCCTGCTCTCTCCTCTCCCCTAAGCAGGGGCAGAGGTCTAGCCACCGTCAGACCTTACTTACTGGTTGAACACTTCTGATCTGAAATCTGATATCTGCAATGCTCCGATAGCTTACCAGTGCTCAAAAAGTTTCAGATTTTGGAGGATTTCTGATTTCAGATTTTTGGATTGGGGATGCTCACCTGTATATCCTCTCCCCTTATCCATGTAACCAATCCCTTATGTAGGTACTGCTGCAGCTCTGTTTTACAGATTTGGAAACGCAGGCACAACTGCTAAGTCACACGATGTACATGCTGTGTGACCTTGGCCTGGTTGTTCAACCTCTCAGCAGTTTTCTCATTCTCAGAACAGCTTTCCTTCTCTGGGTCCTGGGGACAGAGTGGAGAGTCCTTGAGAGACCAGGAACCCTGAGGACTCAATGGCCTTCCCGCCCCGCCTATGCCCGCAGGCCCAGGAAGGGCCAAAGCCTTTCCAGGGAAACCCCAGAGACTTGGGACCTGTTTCTCCCCAGGAGGGGGAGGAGTGGAGGCTGCCGGGCTCCTGCTGAAGAGCTGGTGCCGAGGTTTCTTGCCTTTCCCCACGAGGCAGCCCTGCGCAGGCAGCTCCCCCCACCCACGCGGTCCCTGGGACAGGGAGCCCGAGTTTCCTCCTCAGCAGAGATGCGGGGCTGCACAGCAAACCCACAATTATCCCAGCACACATCTGCAGAGCCCGCTCAACTGGAAACAGGCACAGCTATTTCTAACTCTGCCTTTAGCTTCTGTCCTGCCAGAAAAATCATTTTTGGGGAAAATAAATAACATGAGCGGAAGTGACTAGGAGGTGTGGTTTGGTGTGATCTTTCCACAGCCATGGAGCCCGTGTGCACCAGCCCCAGGCGGTGCCCAGTTCCCGCGTGTGCTCCCTCCCTTACGGCAGCCAGCTGCAGCTCTGCTCCCGGGGAGCCCTTGTGAACGCAGGAGGCTGGAGTCAGGAAGACCCCAGGAAATGTCCAGACCACCCTCCTCATGGCAGATGGGGAAACTGAATCCCACAGGAGCACAGGGGCCTGGTGTTGGTTGAAACCCAGGATCCGGAGCTGCGGGGTAAGTAGGATGGCTCCAGGGTGCCTCGTCCCTTGGGCTCTCAGGACTGTCCCATCCCCTGCAGACAGTGCTGAGGAAGGGACCACTGCGGCCTGGCTACCCTGAGGATCAGCGACTATCTGTAGGAGGTACCCGCAGGGCCAGGCCCTGCAGGCTGTCCATCATCAGCCTGCTCCTTTCTTGTCTTTTCCCCTTTGCCCCGCTCAGTGTGTCTGTCCCTCCAGCAGGTCTGCAGAGGCCTTCTCCTCCAGCCAAGCCTTGCACCGGAGGGCAAGAGGCCGCCGTGAGTGCACTGGTGCCGTCCTCCTGTCTCCAGGCCCAGCATCCTGGGTACGGAGACGGCAAGGATGAGGGAGGATGGTGTCCTGGCTAGAAACTTCCTGCCAGAGGCTTGGCAGCCCCAAGACTGCCCTCCCAGCATCCCACTGGTTCCCCAGGAGGCCGCTAGCCTCACAAGGGAGAGAAGACCTGTGGGCAATCAGAGCCTGGCACGACGGGGGCTTTGAAGGAACAAGCAAGCACAGCTTTCTGGGACGTCTGCAGGGAACGCGATACTTCAAGCTACCTCCAGAAGCTGCGCTTTCTGTCCGTGGAGGCACAAAGAAAAGAGGCCACAGGCAGAGAAGCCTGCAGCCTGCACACGCTGCTGCCCCCAGTGCCCCACCGCTGTCCCCAAGGACACCCCAACAGGAGCTGTTTAGGCACCAGGAGATGAGAACATCTGCAGCACAAGAGTAGCAGTTGAGGCCATCAAGCTACTTGCTGACATTGTTTTAAAAAATAATTGATTTTTGGCCTTTTGGTTAAGATTAAGTGTAGTTAAGTGTATAAAGAATATAATCCCAGGATCCCAATTTTGTAAGTGTAAATTAATAAACCTACATATATGCCTACACATATAAAACACTGAAAGGGAATATATCAAAGTGTTAACAGCAGTTGCCTCTGGGAGGTAGGATTATAAGTGAATTGTTTTCCCCTTTTGGATTTTCAACAATTTATATACAAAATACTTTGGAGTTTTCTCCCAAGCTTTCATTGGAGGTAGTTTTCATAAGATCAATCACTTCAGCTAAAAAATATGCAAGAATCCACTGAAAACTATGCCTCTTAATTTATAAATGTTGATATGACAAGTGATATGTTAAATAGTGACTGTTCATAAGTACATCTTTATTTACCTAATCTTTTTTAAAAAACCATGGAATTTGTACAATGTATTAAATTAAACATCTATCAGTGATCCTGAATTATTCAAAAGTATATAGAATTATACAAAAGCAAGGAAGTACATCTCTGATAGCCTATTTATTTAAAGACTTTGAGTGTTTGAATATTTACTTACTCAAAGGTTTGAGAGTTTCAAGGAATGTAAAAATGGATGAATGTGATCTGAGAAGTCAGAGAAAATCTAGAAGAAAGTCAGCTTGGGCAGCCGCTGTGCTGCAGCCAGAAAGCACCCTGCACAGGAGAGGACGCCGCCAGGCTCGAGACCTGATAAGACAAGCGACATTTCCTCCTCTGTTAAATTCTGCTCAGAATGCACAGGCCACACCAGGTACAGCTTTTTTGTACAAATGAAAGTTGGTTCTTTGTATCTACGAAGCTGTGCGGAGACAGGCTGTGGGCTGGTTAGATAGCCCATTCCACACCTTGGCAGTCCACAGCAGGGCCGGTCTGTGCCTGTCACAACCTTCCACACCACTGCCCGGGCGACCCTGCCTGAAGTAGCCACATGCCATGCCAGGACCATGCACCCCGCCGGGTCCGAGACACCATCTCCATGAACGGGCAGTGACAGACAAGTCCCTGTCACCCCAGATTTCCAGCTGCTTGATGTCCACGTGGGGCCACCTCTGCCCTTATGGCCAACACAGTAACACCCCTACTTCTGCTACTAGAACTTGCTCACCCCGAGGACACTTCATCCCAACTGTCCCAGCCCAGAACCCAGAAGCGCCCCAGCCATAGCACACACACGCCAATCCCACAAGGCTTTGCTATTCCCGAACCAGCTCCGGGCACGGGGCACACACAGGTAAGGAGGTTCCCACCAGCCCCATCCCTCCTGCTTGCATAGACAGGCCCTGCTGCCTGAGGACTCCTGTCCTGGCTTTGCCAGAAAACTTTAAAAGTGCACCTCCTATTTGCTCTATGCTGAGCATGGAGATATGCTGGATTTTCTTCTTTCTTGGCTACCACGTCTCATGCTGGCTTCCAGCTGGGGTCTAGCTGCAGAGCCTGGCTGCTCTAACAGCGCCCCACCACCTGGCCCTGCCCCACCATTCACACCATCACTTCAGTCCTCCACTAACCCTCATCAGGACAGAGCCTGGGCATTAGCATGTAGAGAGCAGACTGAAAGAGGGAAGTCGAGGGGGAATGGACCTTCCTTCCCAAGAGGTCCAGGGCTGAACTGTCAAGTAGAGGTGGCCCAACATCCAGAAACCTCAGGGATGACAAGGACACGGCCAGTGCATCTCCCTCTGGCCACAGCCCATCACACCAATGTGCCATAAGGCTGCTCCAGACAGCCTGTGCTCTCTCTTCCCTGCGGCCAAGGCAGGGGCCTACCTTGAAGATGAGGCAGTCGGCCTTGTGCTCGGCGTACTGGGAGGTCAGCCGGTACTGGTTCTCCGTGGTGATGTCGATCTGGTAGCCCGTGAGTGTGTAGCAGACTTTGCGGAACTCCTGGATCTTGGTCTGGAAAACCTCCTTCAGCCTCTGGTTCTTCAGTTCAGCACTTTCCACCTGCTTCCTCAGCTCTGCGAGGGAGGGAGGGGAGGAGACAGGTGAGCCCGAGGCCGTGCATGGGTCTCAGCTTCCTGGGTGGACAAGGGCTGGCACCCACTTGGCAGGCCTTGATCTGTGCTGACGGAAGGGACAAGACGATAAAGTCTGCCTTTCCGGGGTAACAATGATAATGCTATCACAGTCAACCCCAAAACTCTAAGGCTGGGAAAGGAAGCCAGACACCAGTCTGAGCTCCAGGCTCTCCTGGCCTGGTCCCTGGCGAATGATAATGGGCAACATCTGAAACCACCCAAGTCACTGTCAGGAAGCCAGCGTCAGTCCTGATCTGGGGTGGACTGTCCTCACTTGCTGCAGACGTCAGGCAAGAATATTCTCATGGAAGGAGCCCTGGGAATCCAGGCCCTGAACTGAAGGCCCAGACCTTATACACACAGCCGGGTGACAATGACAGATAGTTCCTGGGCTACTAGGCTGCTGCCTGAGTCCTTGCAGGAGTTGGACGCCTGCCCCACATGAGCCAGTAGGAGCAGCAGGGAAGGCAGGTGGACAGGAGGCCATCAGGAGGGAGGTTTCACACCCTGTTACCCCGAGGCATGACCTGTAGGCCACCTCCAAGATAAGACCACTGGTGACAAGGATGCCAGCAGCAGCAGGGTCTGGGTAGGCCCCGAGACTGAGCAGTGGGAAGACAGTCAGCCCCGCCTGGGCCTATGGCATCTGCCCCTGCCCTGCAGCTTCCGCCTGCCGTGGTTTACTGCCACCTGGGGAGAGGTCGGCAGTGGGGAGCCGTAGAAGAATGCACGAACACCATGAATCTTTCACCCAAGGTGCCTTCCAAGTAATTAAACCTCTATTTATCTCCCCATTAATTATCGAGACAGGCTCCACTTAAACACGCATGGAGCCATCCCCTCCCAGGGGTCCCATCTGGAGCTGAGGACGAGGGCCCCTGCAGAGGCTGGGATACTCCACGCAGGGACAGGAGCCAGCTGGCCAGATTTGAGAAAAACCTGGTCTGAGTCCTGCTCTGCCCTGTGGCAGTGTGAGCGGGGCTGGCAGCCACCTCCCTCCTCCCCAGGTTGAATCACGGGATTTGGCGTGGGTGCCCACATCCAGGCACAGTGACAACTGGCTCTCTGGCTGGGCTGAGAGAGAGGAGGTAAGATGTGGCCACAGCCATGTGGCTGGGAAGAAACTGAGGATCCCAATCCCAGGCAGTGCCCAGGCAAAGGCTGGCCCCAAATCAGACAGTCTGAAGGCCTCAGGGCTCCACCCGACTAGGACCAGCGTGGGGTCCCCCTGTGTCCCTCAGGAGAAGTGTGTAAGGGAAGACAAAGCCAAGCACCTACTGGCCAGTACACGGAGTCACTGAGACCAGGGGACTGACAGTGAGCACGTGCGCCATGGGCCAAGGCTCAGAGGGGCCAGGTCAAGGTGGACAGACACAGCCAGGCCAGGGAGCCTGCACTCCAGGAAGAGGGGGCCGCATGGAGACCAGTAGCCCAGAGTGTACAGAGGAAACAGAGATCTGGGGGCCAGGGAGCTTCCCACTCCAGCTTTGCCACCTCCTGACCTATGGCACTGAACCTATCCCTCCCCTTCACCTAGGACCTTCATTTGAAATAGGGACATAGGGACATAGGCGAGTAGCTGCCTTCAGAGGCTGCCACCAGGATTAAGAAGGATCATCTTCGGAGAGCGCAGGGCTCATGGACACTCCTCTGCCAAGAGTATGGACTCAGATGACCACGTCACGTCACACACACACACTCAACTCCCGGCCACGTTGCTATAGCTTAGGTATGAACACAGACCCCACGTCGCAAACAAGGAAACTGAGGCTAAAAGAGATTGGCCCTTGACCACAGAGAGGAAGGGCATAGGCGGGCTGCCTACGGCCTCAGCCCTCTGAGTTCTGCCTGGCTTCCGCACAGGCAGCCTGGTGTGGGCCCACGTTCTGAGTGAGGGGTCCTGATACCACAGGGGCTGGGAGGAGATGGGGCCTGTATGACACCCAGCCCATCTACAGGGGGGCTGCACGACGTCCGTCCACCTGTGGGACTGCAACTACCTGTACTTGCCTGGCCACTCGACCCGGCCTGTCCTGCCTCTCCCTTCCTCACTGGCGCAAATGGCCTGGCGGATATTGTCACCCACAGCTGAGAGCCCCTCCGTCAGGATGCAGGCTTGGAGCCTGATTAATCAGGTAATCAGGCTATGAAATCTGAAGGTTAATTGGCATCTCTGACCCCAATACCTTCCCTGTGTCCCTCAGTCAATCCTCCCTAACGTGGAGTCATCAGCAGGAAGAAAACCTATGTGCAGAAGGAAAAATTCACTGACCACTCTTCAGAGGCAATATTTCTCCCCTGTCAGAGAAGGCACTGCCTTTAATATATCTCATATGTCCAAATAGGAAAAATTAAATTTTGGTAATAAATGCAGCCTGACCTTGGAGGAAGAAATAGCCCCCTGTCTGCGCAGACATCAAAGCCATCTTTGTGCAGCCCACAGACCCCTGCAAGTAGTCAGGGCCCAGGTCTGCATGAGATCCAGCCCATGGCTGATTAGCGTGGGCTTGGGGTAAGGAAGGAGGTGCATGGAGGCCACGTGCCAGGCACCTGCCACCTGGCTGGTAGGAGTCAGTGCTGCCATTCTTGCTCTTGGGGAGCAGACCCTGGACACCTATGTGCTGGGGACCTGCTGGGCCCCTGCTACAGTGCAGGCCTACCACTGATCAATAGGCAACAGCAGGGGGCGTGGAGGGGAGTGACCTCCTCAAGGCCATGTGGACTCTTGGGTGAGAGGGGGCCCGACCCCAATCTGCCAAGTTGGGTGGGGAGGGGCCCAGCTTTCAAGTAAGGCCCACCTTAATGAAGTGGGCTCAGGAAGGGAGATTCGTGAAGAATTCCTTGACTTGGGGCACATAAAAGTCAACATTTTGACCTCTCCGTTATTCCTGTAGCTCAATCGCTTACATAAACGTGAATGAATAATTCACATGATGGTTTGGATTAAATAAATAAAAGATGGGTTTTCCGCCTCAGAAATGTCATCGCTTTCTTGCCACTTGCTCGCACGTAGCCTTCTTCCCAATTGAGACAGGAACTAAAGGTTCCCTGGGCTGGGTTCTGTGAGCCCAGGATGTGTGGCCCGGCCAGCTCCCCCGGGGCCCTGGGATGTGTGACCACCCTGCGCTCCACCCCTCAGACCTGACCTACTGGCGACGACACATGGGCAGAGGGAGCAGAGGGCCTACGTGGCCCTTCAGCACTCTTGGCCCCAGCCCCAGGCCTCGCCTGCTGTGCACTCCATGGGGGATGAGGCCCCGGCTGGCAGCCATGTTCTCTGGGGTGTCCCTCTCCCCCACACCCTCATGCTCAAGTCCGCTGTAAAGAGGTGCTGAGGCCCTTTGAGCCCTGCCCCACCCTCAGCCCCATCTCTTGCCTTTCCTGCCCCATGAATCCTGGACTCCAGCCATGTAAACCAGAAGACCCCCTGCAAGCCACCATCTCGCCTCTGCCCCTGCACACGTGGCTACCCTCCCTGCCTGGCACCTTGGGCCCCTCTCTTGTGCCCTCCTGGATCCCTGGCTGCTCCAGGCAGAGCGGCCGTTCCCTCTCCGGAATGCTGGCACCCCTCCCTGAGCCTCCGATTGCTGCCCTTTGCAGGGACACGGGGATGTGGGGACGTGGGCCTGGCGCCAACAGGCCTCCGCAAGTCCTTGGTGAGGGACAGGAAAGGAAGGAGACACAGGTAGACAGGCAGGAGTCAGAGGAGAGGACGAGACTGCTGCCCAGAGCCCAGAGCCAGTGTGGGGTGGGCAGAGGATGTGTGGTCGGGGAAGGGGTGTCCAAGGGCCGAGAGGCACATGAGGCCGGGTGGCACATGAGGCCGGGTGTCTCAGCCCAGCACCTGCTCCTCCTGAACTGCAGAAGGCAGCTGTGAAAGTTCTGTGGGAAGGACACAGAATAAAAATAAATTGCAATTATATAAAGGCTAGCAGGGAAGAGAGTGGTTTTACCCCTGAGAGCAGAGATGTCGGGATAAAGGCGCATTTACGGGCACTCGTCTCTGGAGGCCCAGCTCACAGCCTGCGACGTGGAGAACAGCTCTAGCCAGAGAGGCAGGGACAGTGAGCCAGAGGTGTGCTCGGGTGCAGAGGCACAAGGAGAGGCCTGAGTCAGCCTCGAGGCCGGGCTCTCCTTGACTGGAGCATGGCTCCCATGTCTTCCTGATCTGCGTGCAGGCGGGGGCAGGACACGGCCCTCCCTCCATACCTGTTCAGTGGCGCTGCAGCCCTGGGACCTGGCCAGCACCTGACCAGCCCCTCCACTTTCACTCAAAAAAGCCCCTCCGCTTTCGCTCTGTGATGTAGACTCTGGGGTCCAGCCTTTCAGAAGGAGGAAAAAGGAAAAATCCTTTTGACTCCCTGGGGAGTTATGGGGACACACAGATAAGCGAGACAGCATAAATACTTTCAGAGATGCAAACTGTCTCAGGAGGGCAGCTCCTGGGGCATGCTTGCCCACTGTCCCCCTCCCCAGGGCCCAGGTGGAGGCCCTGTCCTGGGGCCTGGGCTCCAGCTATAGCGGGGGACCCACACCACTACCCACCACCCCACTCTGAGACCTCCCCAGGACTGGGGCTGGCCTGACCCACGTCTGTGTCCCAGGACAATTTTAATGAGCGCCTGAGTTTTCACTGCTGTTCACAAAGCACCACCTGCCACCCCTGGGCATCCTGTGAGGAGGCAGCCCCTTCAGTCGAGGCAGCTGGTGTGGGAAGAGCCCTCAGAGGGAAGAGACCCCGAACCACCAACCCAGGGGCAGCCTGGGCATGGGCTCACAGTCCTCCCTCTCACCATGGCCAGCCCAGGCTCGCACGGGGACCCAGGTATCTGGACAGAATCTGAGCCCCCAAGGCAGACGTGATCTTAAGTGACATTCTCCTAGGGCCACCAAGGTTGCAGAGCCCCCTGAGACCCCAGGCCCACTTGGCAACAGCTTCG